GTAACTCTAGTTGAAATGATGAGATATATATCATACGAAATAAAAATGTATAGCTTCATAGCCTTATATATATACCTAAAGCATGCACATTTGTTAAAGCTAATTTTTGCATTCGTGTGAATTGCGGGTATTTAAGCACACAATACTGTTAAGTAGCGCTAAATAAGTAGCAAGTATAGGATGGCAGATTTTCATTTGTAGTAGGCATCACTAAGGCAAAGACAATATAAAGCCTCAACAATGAACCTTAATTTTGGCCTCACATAAACTGACTTATTTTTGGAATTTCTTTGTCAAATATGAAGACATTTTTCGTTGTATGTAGGTTTTCGAGACTACCAGTAAATCAAATATATGCGATGTATTCACCTTATTTCGTACAAGGTTATGGAGGACTAAAAGTTGAATTTTCCTACAATAATGTGAGTAGATCTTATGTTTGCATTTAAGTTGACATGGGCCATGACAGTGCAGAGTATAACATCGACACGTTAACCACTACGCCACATTGCCACGAGGGCAAATGTGAATTTAAAGGGAGACCAGACAGTCTCGGAGGCCTACTTACAAACTAAAAACAAGTATTATAGCAAATATAAGTTTGCTTTATCGAAAATCTGCCCACAGAATGTGATACTGGAAAATGCCTGGCCTTCCCTGAAATCCAAGTCCACTCATGGCAATGTAGCGTATTGGTTAATGTGTCGAGATTATACGCTACGCTGTTATGGTTCGAGTCCCGCTGGGGACACTGATAAGCCCTAGGCGACGTCAAAGATACAGTCCATGCTGGGAAAGCAAGGCTATGTGAAATTTATTGGAAACGTAAGGTCTACTCACATCTTTGTGGGAAATTCGACTACCAATTCTTAGTCACTTTATAACAAATATATGAAACCGTTTACGTACTATCCAAACGCATTATCCCAATTAGGAACGCTTAAGCGAATATTTAGTGAACACGACGTCGAGCTGAGCCATTGACGAGCCATTCTTCACGGTAAAGTGTATCTACCAATGCCAATGAGCTCGTGTCTAAAAATCACATAGCACTCAGACGGTGATCCTGAGATCACGACCAGACTCACGAGTGTTTGCAAGAAAGATTTCGCAAAAGTGGTAAAATGATCAAAAGGGTACGTGTACTCCGGCCCTACCGTCTAATTGTCTGAAGGCCTCAATCCGTCGGGTCTCTCATCTGCAAATCTGGGCTCTAGATCGCCCATTACGGAGGCAACCTGCTCTGCGGCCTCGAAGTTTCTCATTCGACACTTCACTTTGTCCGTTCTCGATCTCTACCGCATGCATTGACCTATCGCCTAGCTCTCCGACACTACCCTCTCCCCTGCCTCCGTTGCTATGTTTCCCTATCCTCGATATCGCCCGCCTGACCACCTTCTCTGTGGTCGTGATTGAACCTGGCAAGTACACATTACGCCGCCCGTCACTCCTTTCGCCGGCCTTATCTGCTTCGGCTCGTTTCGGCACACCATTTTGCCTCCGCCCTCTTTCATGCCACCCGGCCAGCTTCTTCCCTCTTTTATGTTGCTGGCCTCAGTTCTTCTTCACCCGACAGCCAGCTCCATGGTCATATCGCCCCCCTCGTCGTGCACTAGTTCGTCTTGACGAAAGTTTTGTTTGTCTGCTCCTACCGTCCAAACAATGTGCAGCCACCTTCAGAGTGGCAGACATGTTTATGCCTGTCGAGGTGTACATTTGAAGCTGACATGCGGTCGAAAGAAGATGCGGCAGACGACCTGATGGAGAATAGCAACGCTGAAGTCTTAGACACGTTAGTCATAAATGAGGATGAGCAGGCAACAAACACTGCTTGGTGCCGCTTTGTCGCCATGGCACAGGGAAAATGTGTAGTCGCCCTTTTAATCCTCCGTCCGGCACTCACTTTATCGAGAATTAGGCAATGAAGAGGCTCGTGTCTGCGCAAAGTCGTGTGCATAAATAAGCATTAGGCATATTTACTTGCCGTCCGATTTGGGAGGTAGGAGGAGGGGCAAGCGAGAAAAGATTTGTGTGGCTGGTGGTGCGTCTGCAAAGGCATAAGAGAGAGAGAGAGAGAGAGAGAGAGAGAGAGAGAGAGGAGAAGAGGAGAGGGCATGTGATAAAGACCCTTTACAAGGTCGACCTTCTCTTGCAGCCACTGCAATCGGCCTCAAGTGGATCCAGCAAAATGTTCGCAGGTGGCAACAGGTCAACTGGGCAGGGCAAGTGGGACAGATTGTGTATGTGTGTGTTCGTGTGCAGAGAGTGAGACCGAAGCCTTTTGCTAAGAGGTGGTAATTCATCAAACTCCCTCTGACCACACAAGCCTCAAGTGCTTCCTCCTCTCCTTGAGGATGGCCAGATGAGACAGTCTGTAGGCAGACAGTCCCCGAAGGGTGCACAAGTTGCCTCTACCAAATATCAGCCCCACCTCTAGTCGGTGTGGCCTTTGGGTGCCGGCCAAAGAGACCGATGGTTGTCAAGTCGTCCGTTTTTAGACAGTTCTGCATTCTGACTCGACTTTCCGGCATGTCTCGAACCTGCGACTTGAAGTCCAGCCGAAGGATCACTTCTTGGTATATTAGCTCAAGGCAACTACGTCCACGATGAGGAGAAGAGTTGAGGCAACTGTTGCTCCAGCCATGACTGACCACTCCAGGCCTCTCTCAGCTTGCATGTAAAGTGAAAAATTTAATTATTAATCAAGATCTACTCACTACCGATGCAAGTAGTGTTGTCATGTTTTGCTTTTGCTAAAATCCCACCATTAAAATGTGATTGACGAGGGGCCCGGCTTGCTGTGAAATACGCACTTCCCTTCTGTCAAATTGGTATTTGTGGCAATGTTGTGAACTGATGACATGTAGAACGTGTACGCTGTTCTATCCGGGCTAGATTCCAATTGCGGACGCTGATGAGACTGAAGTTAGAATCATTGGCATCGTGAAACGCACCCACTGGATTTTGGGAAAGATCCAACTATTAGTCTCTCATCATCTTATGCAA